TCTCTCTCTCTCTCTCTCTCTCTCTCTCTCTCTCTCTCTCTCTCGGAAGAGTCCTCTCCCTCCCCCTTCCGGCAAATGGAGCCGCCCGATTCGGTGTTCAGTACGTGTCGAAGCGCACACTCGAACACACCCAACTTCAAAAAACGACAGCAAACCGCAGCGGACAAATAGTGCATTGGCACGATACTCTATCTTCCGCATGGGCTGCGATCACATGCGATACGTACCGCTTCTTTATACGCATTAAGCAGTGACCAGCTCGGTCGTTTCATTGACTCCGTCGACGTTGGCACGTGAACACCGGAACTCTTTTAACCTTTTTTTTTTTTTTTTTCGTTTCTGCATGATTAAGTTTTATGTTTTTTTCCTTAAATCATATCCGGAATCATGAATCTTTCCTTGGAAGGTAAACGAACGGCCGTCCACGTGTCCTCGCCAGTGGCAGTCGACCGAGAGAAGACGCATGCATATATATATGTACATACATTTACAAGGAATGTGGCCGAAGCAATTCGGTGACGTTCCGTGTATATGTATGTACATATGTATGCATGCGCCTCCTGTCGGTCGACTGCCACGGATAGGGACATGCGGACGGTCATTCGTCCACTTCCCAAGGAAAGATTCATGATATATATATGTATAGATATAGATATAGATATACAGGGTTACCAGCCCGTACGTACAAAGGTCCCTGGGCAGACCTCCGTACGTACGGGCGTTCGGGGTCCCGTACAGGGTCCGAAATTTATGGTGTTCGGCCCTTGCCAAAACTTATTTCGAGGCCTAAAAATAACTTCTGTTTTCTGATTTTTTTTTTGTGAGTTCTCTATGACATGAGGTACATTCCCCTAGATTTTCAATTCATTTGGCTTATCCAAATAAGAATTAAAAATCGCCAAAGATGGCGGTTTCAAAACGTGCTCGCCCACGTTTTTTTTCACTTTTTATTTTTTGTTTTCACTTTAGTTCAGGGTCTAAACAATTTTATTATTTTTTGAAACTGGTTTTGAATTATGTGAGGTACACATCTTTAAATTTTCAGGGCATTTAGCTATGCCAACAAAAAATGAAAAATCTCCAAAGTTGGCGGTGTCGAAAACGTGTTGTCACACTCGCTAAATTTAATTCTTTTTTATTTTTTGTTATTTTTATTATTAGTATTTTTTTTTTGTATTTTATTTTTATTTAAAATTTGGTAAGTAATTTGGATGTAATGCTCAGGCAAATCTTGCTTAGTTTATTTTTCTTCATAATATATTTTTTTT